TGAAGATATGGTCTTTTTTTTATTTTTTGATAAAGAAGAGTCAGTTGCTTTGTGTTAATATAATCTGTGGCTTTGTTTGTTCATAAAGTATATTATAAAAAAATTTAGGAAGTGAGATTTTATATATATATATATATATATATATATATATAAGGACTAAATAGCTCTCCAAAAAGCCATCATATGCTTAAATTTAATGAAGTATGGAGCTATAGTAACTATTTGCGTAAAGAAGAGGTATTAACAACTTTATGCTATCAAAAGGTATCATGTTCATATGATGCGGTGGAATTTATTTGAATAAAAAGAAATATTTGACCGTATCTAATTGCAACCAAAAACCTTATTTTTCTTTGAAGCAAATCCTCTCATCCCAAAACCAGATCATTTCATTTAATGATTTTTCAAATTTTATTTTCAAAATGTTCTAAATCATTTTTTGTGATTTTTTTTAACACAATTTATTGCACTTGACCACAAAGAGCCATATTCTCTTGGAAATATAAGATTTATACTTAGACATTAGTTTGGATTTGCTCCTATCTAATATGTTGATACTTCATTGCTTGAGACTTTAAATACTTCTCTTATATTTAGGATTCACCAAATTATGTCATATTTTGTGAAGTTTGCTTGAGAATGTATTAGGCACTTGATTTTGGAAGGTAAAATGAAACTTGTAACAGGAAGATTCTAACAACTCTAATATAATCCTCAATAAATTCTAATTAAACTATAACAATGTCAATCTATCTTTAATTAAATTTCAAAAAAAGTCTCAAAGAACTTACAAAAAAAAAATCATAAATTAGTCTTAAAATAATATATATAATAAATTAAAAATTAAAAATTATCAAAAAAATATTTTGAAAATATTTAAAATAGTAATTATAATTCAATATTAATTAAATTCGAATATAACTTTCAATAAATTCTAAAAAAATCCTAACCAAATCTTAACAACTTTAATGAAATTCAAAATCCTAATCCTAGATCAAACCTTAATAAAATCCTAATAAAATTTTAACCAAAATTTAGACCAAATCTTAAAAATCCTAATAAAATTCAAAATCTTAAACTTAGACCAAATTTCAATGAAATCCTAATGAAATCCTAACCAAAATCTAATCCAAATCCTAATCAATTCTAATCAAATCTTAATCAATTCATAAATCCTAACTAAATTTTAATCAAATTCTAGTCAAATACTAATCAATTTCTAAATCTTAATTAAATTCTAATCAAAATTTAATCAAATCTTAAATTCCAACCAGATTCTAAATAAAAATTAAACCTCAAGAAAATCTTAAATAAATCTTAATAAATTATTATAGTTGTTTGAAACTTCAACCAGTATTAATTTAATTATTTATCTTAACTAAGATTTCTCCTTATCAAACCATTCAATTGCTGAAAAATTGACTAATATGTAGATATATACATCTAAATTTCTCTTACCAATTCTTGCTTCAATCAAATTGACAAATATTGCAAGATTGCAAAAATCCTCACTAATACTAAATTTCAATTAACTGAGACCATAACCAATAAAAACTCTCATAATCTTCAATCTAATCACTTAATTGACAAAAAAAATCTTGCACACATTTACAACAAGTATAGCCAAATTTTTATTTATAAATATGTTATAACATTCACAAAATCATCAAATTTGTGAACTTCTTTTTATTTCATAAAATCCATCTCTTTAGAATATATCTTTTTCTTTGAAAAGCTCTCAAAAACCTCAATATATCTTAAAATTGCATGAAATTAACTTTTAAAAGTCCTCTCATTAGTCTACTTTCAAATTCCATACTCTAATTGACCAAAAAAATTCCAAATTTGTAATTTTGTGCCTCAAGATTTGATTTCGACCTTGTTTTATTATTGGTCCTCTCTGGATATCAATTCTTTGTATTTTAAAGTATTTTTTTCTAAGACCTACTCTAAATTCTTCCTAAAGATACCTATAATAATTATTAATTTTATTTATTTTGATTTGGCTCATTTATACTCCTACAAAGTAAGTAGAAGTCTCTTCTAAAAAAAGGCAGCATTAGCACTTATTAATTTTTACTATCTCTTTATCTATTATCTATATTTTTAAGATAATTTGTTAAAATAATTTCATTTAAGCTCCTCTATAATAAAATGTTTCTTTTCTTCTTTAATCTAATGGTTGTATTATTATGCAATATTAATACAAGTCTATAATTGCTCTTCCAAAGAACCTCTTATCAAGTTCAAATCATTCTAATGTTCAGTGTAAAAAGTAAAGTAGTTTGACATAATTCTAAAACCTATACCAAAGAAAAAAGATTATGTCTATTTGATACTATTCCCATTAGTCACTTGAGATGGGATCCCAAGAACCAGCAATGGACTAAATTTTGTAGCCTCAAAACTTGTAATTACTTCTAGTATATAATTAAATAAGGTTATTGTATTGGTTTACTTAAAAAAATAAACACTATAAGAAGACCCTAAGATCTCAAGAAATATAGGTATATAATGCAACAAAGAAGGCTTCTAATTCAAAGAATTTGACATTGGTGGCTTTCTTTTAAGATAGCATCCATGCAATTGCTTTATTTGACAAAGAATTTATCTATTAGAGAATAGAGAGCTAAAGCCTCTTCAATCAATATAGGAAAATTCTATCACTTTGAAATAACGAAAATATGTAAACACACCTTATACATTTGCCAAAAGTTTTTTCTTGCATGGCATTACTTCAATGCCCTTCGATTCCAATACAACCTATACAACATATATGCCATCTAATACAACATAAGTTTTGATACCATGTTTTGACTTAACAATCTCAACATTACACAAAATTTCCTTGTAGCACTTTGGATCTTAGAAATAAGATTAATGACAACATGTCCTTGGATCTCCTATAAATGAGCCTAAAATAGAACATATGGATTCAAAAGTATGGAGAAGAAATATCTTGCCATATCTTCTTCTTTTTAGATAAGATGATGTCCTATGTGTGAAAAATGATTATTCATATTAGATTAGAGGTATATCAAAGCATTTTATGTTACAAATACAGTCCAAACAAGATCACTCAACTAGCCACCCTCTTTTAGGAGGTTTGGACAAAACAAATAGAATTTGCAACACCAAAGAATCTTCCACACAAGAACTAGTTCATGCTACCAACCTTTTTCTTATTGGAGCTAAAAAAAGATATTTCTTAGCTACCTAAACCTATATCCTTCAAGTTGAATTCTTAAAAGCATTCAACAAAAACTACTTCAAAAAGCAAAGACCTTTCTCTTGCCATAAAGTAGCTCTTTGAAGAAATAAAACAGGAAATTAGAATACATCTCCCTCATGTTGACTTACAACATGAAGTGAGAGAAAGCAATACTTTCTTTTCTACAAGAACAAACAATCCACGCCCTCTAAGCCTACCAATAAGTTTGCAAGAGGAATTAGTATAGATGCCATACAATCTACATTAAAAATTACACAAGAAGGCAGTCAAAGTTTTGCATGTCCAATTAAAGAATAGATAGAAAGAAAAGTAGAAGTAATTTTGACAAAAATAAAAAGAAAACATTTGGAACAATTATCAAAATTCTCTTGCACACTCTCAAGCCAACTATGGATGAACGAAGAGAGATAATTTTGGTATGATGATGTTCAATATAGTCTCAAAGATCTCGTCTATTTGGTCAAATCAACTAAGAATAATCTATTGTTTTGCAAAAGCATCACTATTTTAGAAATCTATGCAACTACAAATCAACACTTTTAAGGCAATAACTTCTACACATAGATAGTAGAGGAAAGACAATTTTTTTGACTTAGGCCTTCAATACCTTCAATGAAATTTGGGTCATTCCAAGCAAAGGTGAAATAGAAGTTGTAATAAACCTTCACAAGGTTAGAGAACACCTACAGTGACAAGTACACAACAACACTTAAGATATAACATAAGCTCTGAGGTAAGTCTCCACAACCCAAATCAACCATCATAATTATTCTAACAAGTGAGTTTGGAATACTTTGATAGTGACTCCTACTTATCAAAAATAATAAAGACTAGATGTGATTATGAATTGTCATGTATAGGAATGTAATGGACAAAAGCAACCATGGTCAAGTTAAGTTCAAAAAGAGATTACATGCCTACTTCTTTTTAGCCAATGGTCATATGACATATGCCATGCCACTCAATGTAATGCACTTCAATGCTTTGTTTTTAATCTCGAAGAGGATTTTAAAAAAATAATATCTCTATTCTATTAAAAAAAGATGGAGGGATCAAATATCTAGTGCAAAATTTTTTACACTCCATTGAATTGCATGCATGTGGATTACTTCCACTAATTTATTGTCATATCTTTCTTATAAATTGTTTTGTAAGAATTAATTTGGAATTCATTTCCAAAATAACAATGGTATTGTGCATATTGTGGTTTAGGTAGGAATTCAAATAATCCATATAGTTTTCAGATAATGAACTATCCACTTCCGCATGCTAAACCAAGTAATATATTTTAACACATATAAAATGAAATTGGTTTAAAGTTGCATGGCAAAGATGGATAGTTCAATTATTTTGTAAAGATTTGTAATAATTTCCAAATTGGATTTGGATAATGAACGATAGAGATACGAAGGAGTGTTGAAATTGGTTCAGTAAGAAATCAAAAATTAAATGACTTGTTTTTGTTAATTTCAAACCTGTAAAGGTGACATAAAAATATTCTTTTAATAACTTTCAATGTAATGAAGCTTTTGGAGTATTTCAACTAGCAAGTAATACATTTTCTATTTTATAGATCTTCCTCATTCGTTGATTATTTGTTGTATGAGTTTGGGTTTCAATGTAAATGAATCGATTATACTCAAATGTTCCATTCCCCTACTAAAATAAGCTTTAAAGAATAACAAAAATGAACTCGTGTGTGACTCAGTGAATTAAAAAGCAATGCCAAGAGCCTGCCACAACTTTTGAAGCCCAATTCAACAGTCCATTGGTATCAAAGGAGATTCTTTTCCAAAGGTTTCGTTTTGGCCAGGAGGGGTTTGCTCCGCATGAGTGAACATCATACACTTGTGCAAGACGCACCTCAGTGGATTGCCTTATTCCCTGTCCACAATTGCGGAACGAATAAGTGGGAGTAACAGACCCATCTGCAACCTTAGAATACTCTTGAGTAATTTACATACCCCGTTCTTCTGTGCAACCAGGGATGTCCGCATACCTGTCTAACCTGTTGAACTGTAAATTCTACATTTGTTGTACTAAGAAAATTACATACTGCCCTGGTGCATTTCCGCAAGATCAGTTCTACATAGAACCTCATTTGCCCTAACGACTTTCAAGTCAGAAAAATGCGTTCACTAACCAACAATCAATATCATAATCTTTGGGTAAGCTCAGAAATGGAACCTTGTTCTAGAAGCTCTATAAGAACCAACCGCATCTTTTCTAAAGAAATAGGCTTTGTGACAACTCCATCCATGCCCAGGCGAAGACACTTCTCACGGGTGATACGATCCGTGTTAGCTGTGAGGGCGACAAGGAGGGGTCGCTCACGACGTCCTAATCTTTTCTGAATTTGAACAGCAACTTCATAACCGTCCATCTCCGGCATGCACACATCAAGCAGAAGCAAATTGAAAGCTTGATTTCGCTGTTGAATTAATTGCAGGCACTCCCGTCCAGATGCCGCCAATGTAACTTCGCACCCCAGCCGCATTAGTAGGCCTCGCGTAACCATCCTATTCACACTGTGTATCATTCAAAGGTTTCAATCTTATGAGATTCACATCACGGAAAAGTAGATGTGAATGATTAGTGGTCATGTATCAACAAGGACAGGTTCGAAATCAGAACCACTCAGCCAGAGCAAAGGATGAGCGCTTACCCATTGTCATCAGTGACCAAAATTTTGACACCGGAACAGTCTGTCCGAGACTGAGAACTGCTTGGTTGAGAGTTAGGCGCAATCTGGATGGAGAGATGGCTTGGAGCCTCAGGAAAATTTAACTTCACAATAAAGGTCACAACCGACCCCTTTCCAACCCCATCGCTTTCAATCCAAATATGTCCGTCCATAAGATTAACAAACCTGCCTCACAACAACTGACTTGTAAAATAGATGTCATCTTGACCGTTCTGAGATAAAAACAAGGTAAAACAAAGACCTACAACAGTTAACAACAAAAGAACATTACAATCCCCAGTGCAGCCTAAAACCATACAAAGGCCACCCACAAGAAACAACTAATGCCCAAAAAATAGTAGATACGAAACACAAATTAAAACATAACATCAACAAGACCTGAAGCTACCTTTTGCAAATGGCTAACCCAAGCCCTGTTCCTCCGTAGTTTCTTGTAGTGGTAGAATCAGCTTGTACAAACTTGTTGAAGAGCATAGGGATGTCTTGCGGATTGAGACCCAAACCTGTGTCCCGCACCTGCCAACCAGTCATTCATGTCAATGAGAAATTACGACCCAATACTTATTGCCAAGCTAATCTGTAACTACGCAGTTCTTTAAAATCAGAAAAAAGCAACTTAACATACCAAATCAAAAAGGTAGAAGATACCTGGACTCTGATATAAAAATGGTTGTCTCCTGGGAGGGGGCGAAAATCTGGTTTTCGGGGGTCACGCGGATACTCAGTTCTTTCTAGACCTACTATTACATTCACATAGCCCTCCTTGGTAAACTCCACCGCATTTCCAACAACATTGAGGGCAGTTTGTAACAGCCGTTTGTCATCTCCAACTGCAATTTCAGGAATATCAGGTCCCATAGTCAAGTTCACTTGAAGCCTTTTCACTGATGCTATTGGCTTCACAAGGCTCGATACCTGCCAGGGCACAGACAATATCTCAGACTGTATGATCAGATCGTGTGACATTAAGGATTACTGTGGAAATAATAAAGCAGGTAACATCCAGAAAATAATTCCGCATAATCTAACAGTGGCTTAGAGCAGACGTCCAACAAACGAAGTCATTATTCAAAGCATGACATGGAATACTAACTATTAGTCCTATTTTACTCGACAAAGCCGTTTAAAAGCTGATGAAGCCTACTGCGAATCAAGTCTAAGCTGCTCTACAGAAGCAGAATTGACACAGTATCTTACAAGAAAGCAATTGTTTCCTTAAAACGCTTATTCCTAAACATGCAATTCAGTGGAAACTTAAATTTACACTTTCTTCTGTGCCGACCATAACATATCAAGCAGCCACGTTAATCTGCAACATTGTCAAAACACGAACAATTTTGAGAGTCTACCTCTTTGAAGACATTAGGAAGGTTAAATTTCTGAATATCAAGCTCCAGACTTCCATCCTCGAGCCGGGAAAGGTCCAGTACGTCATTTATCAACGTGGCTAGAAGATTACTGCTTTTCAAAAAAGCGTTTCTACCATGGACCGCTGCTCAGGGGCCAACTCCGTTTCTTGTAAAAGAGAAGAAAGAGCAATAATAGCATGCATTGGCGTACGCATCTCATGGTTCATGACGGCAAGAAAATCGTTGCGGGCTCGAATAGCTGTCTCTGCTCCCTGTCGGGCATGTTCCAACGCTACGTTTTGTTCCATCAAAAGCTCTCGAGCAAGCATTGATTCCTCCAGAATCATGGCGTGTGATAGGGCCACAGCCACCTGCATTCAACAAGTGATGCCAGCTATTATAACACTTTCATCACAAGGAAACTACGGCAGCAAAATACATTGCATAAACATCACGAATCAAGGCCCGGTAATTGGGGAGCCATTTCGACGCAACTGAAGCTGTAAGAGTAGCCATTATTTTAGAGGTCATAATCAGACGACACTTCTCACCTGATCGGCCACAACTTCCACTAGCTCCAGTTCATGAGCATGCCACCTCCGTGCACTATCTAAAGGCAGCATCAGCACCAACAATGCAAAAGGACGAATAACTGCGTCAGGCCAACCACTGAAATGAAAGTTGGTAATATGAAGAAGTGGAACTCGGATTGCAACGACCTCCCCAGTCATGAACTTCCCACCACGTACTCGAGTCACACAAACTGGACTATTTGGAGATATCACCACTGCTCGGGAAGCACTGAACACTTGCTTGATGGTTGGGTGGTGTATGGACACTGTAACATGGAGGGTATCAGCTTGAAAAGCATTTTTTAGCTCTAACTCTTGACCATCCGGAGTTGGCATCCATAACGTGCATTCCTCAAGCGAAAGCATCTTGCCCAGCTCAGTTAGGGTAGTGCTCAATATTGTATGTCTATCTAGAGTACTTCGAATTTCATGAGTAAGCATCCTTACATGACGACCTGTTTCCTCTTGTGTGCGAATCAATCCCATCTCACGATCAAGTTCTGCAGCCTTTTTCTTCAAAAATAATTCTCGAGTCTTCACACTAAGGAGGTCTGGAATAATATGAACAAGCATGAGTGCTGTGGCACACGAAACAACGGCAGTAAGAACCTTCGCCGTTGTGAGAACAACAGCCACTGTTCGAGAGTGAATAGTAAAGGTCCATAACGATATGTGATGCGTTGCTCCACATAGCACGATGAAGGCCCCAAACTGAACTAGGATCCATCGGTATGGGAAGATGGACGACTTTTTCACGAAGTATATGAGCTCCAGCGGGATAGAGAAATATGCCAATGCGATGAAAAAATCTGATATGTACTGGTACCGCATGAGGAGGTCGTCTGGAGGCCATTGCGGCTCTACACAATTGCACGCTTCCATCACTGCCAATTCCTCAAACAAATCCACTATACTTCCTGGAAAGTAGTGTACAAATTGGAGTACTGCTCAGCCAATCAAAGAAAATGACAAATAGGTTAACGTAAGGTGAAATGAGCAAAGTGTCAGCATTATCCCTGAATATGTGATGATGGTAAGCTGCCTAACTTAACCGTGTCTGCATTAACATATGTACAAGAAGTAGCTGCCAGAGAGCTTCAATATTGAAGGGCTAGCAGGAACTTCGTCTCCTGCAAAGTGACCACAGAGGATTCGACAAAATTCAGGGTCGAAACCTCATAAAAATACAACATAATATGGAACGGAGCTAGATGTAACAGGTAAGGCAAGAGCGGTAGAAACTCCCAACACGAACTCGCTAAAACAAACGACCAGGAAAAGGAAGGCGAACGACTCAACACGACCAAGCTACGGTTACAGAACCAGTTCTATGAAACAAGCCGCATGTTCCTATTTGAAAGTTTGAAACAGCAATCGTTACTATTCATTAAAAAGATTGCTAAGTTTCTTTTCAGAAAAAGCCAAAGAGGTAATGTCAGCCTCACTATATCATCAGAACAATGGTGAGAATTCGTAACTTCTCCCCCGCTAATAGCATTAGGTTGAAGTCGTAATTGAAACATATGTTCTTCCGTTCTCATGGTCAAAAAATACCTGGTTCACGCCTATTTCAAAGTCGCCAGGAAAGCCCTCAACCGCCGTGGCCTGTGGTAAAGCACCAGGAGCGCATCCTGATCCACGGTAACTTTAAACTGTCCAAGAATCGAGCCAGGTACCACAAAACATATTTGAGCAATTCACACAAGTATATTCCAAAGATGCAAGATGGCCATGCTAAAACCAATCGAGGACTCAAAAATTACTTCCAGCATAATGTAAAATAATATCCATCACTTCAGGCGCTTAATAAAAATGCTTCGCGGCAAAGGCATCAATTACGACTTAAAGCATGTTCCAGGTGCATATTCCGAAAGAGGCAGCACCAACGTCAACTCCACCTCAAGAATGCAAATAGGATCATTAAGCCGCGCAAACCTCCAATAAAAATTCGTAATCACGCCACTGAAACTGGAGATGATTTTGGACGTTCATCATCACACCCCAAGTAAATCTAGTATTTCGCGCACATCACAAGATCCAACTACAAACCAAATGAGCGTCCACCTCCGCCACGGTTGGCCATTCATAACCCACACAAAGCTAAATTACCACACCCTCACATCCGAACATCCTCACACAATCCAAAAACAGTTTTAAACATTCCTGGCATACGGCACTCACTACACCCCGCGCACAGACCACCAGCCCGCTCTAGATCAAACGCGCTTCCACACACACACACACAGGTTGCCACCCCGTCGCGCCTGCGGACCACCTCACACACCTCAAGCGCAATTAATAACGCACAGCACATCCACGATCCTCCTCCAAACCACCTCCTCCGAGTCCCGTCAACCGAATCCATGGCCACGACTGTACCTGCGATCATCGTCAACCATTGCAACAGCACCAAGAGCGCTCCACTTAATCACACTAACTCCCTGACTTCAACGAACACCAAAACTTCGCAACCCTGGCAGATTGAGCACTAAAAGTAATATTCACAATTTCCCCTCGAAAAAAAATACACACACTCCAGACAACGAAGTCGATGTGAAGCAAACAACCAAGGAGCAGTGGTTACAGAGCACGGCCGTGCCAGCGGCCCGCACGGGACCAGCACCAATCAAAAGGCCGCAGAAACAGGAGTGTGTTAGAATCGCGTCGAGCACACATTCCCAGTAGATTCTATGCCCATTAACCCCTGCAATCAGAACTCCCACTGCGCTCTAATTCAGGACCATCGCCTTTTCCTGCTCCGATTCTCTCCCCGGTGTTTGGCTTCCAACCACAGTAAACACAGCTCCGAGATTCCTCGCCCCTGATTGAAGGACGGGATCCAGTGCACAGGTCCACTTTCGAAATCGAGAGAGGGAGAGACAGTGAGGACGGGTACCGGTCCCCGTGGTTCCGGGTGTTGAGAAAAGAACTCTTTAAGTAGTTGCTAATGGTCAATAGAGTACAAGTGTTGTTAAGGATATCCCATAAGGTAGGGTGCTGGTCTATAGTACATTAGAGTACAAGGGGAGGGCTGGTCCTAGAAGATATCCCATATGGATTGTAGCACTTGGTACCTTGGTACTAGTATATAAGGAAAGGGTTGGCATGGGAAGAATTATCTCATATCACACTCTATTTGTTATAGTGCAACCTTGCTGGTCCTAACTTACTTGTGTGGAGTATGCTTTCTATGTTTCAATACCGAGCCCACTGCCCCAATATATTGGGGCATCACTCCACCCCATCGGATCTGACGTGCCTCATCTGATCCGATGTGGCCTCGATATCCGGTTCTTCACTGGGATAATGTTGTCATATGAATGGTGGGGCCTTGACAATCTTCCTTGCCCCCTAATCCATGTTCCCTCACACAAGTGCACAGAGAACGTGAGGTTTTCCATCTTCCTCAGTTGTTCTGTATGATGCTGTGCAGTGCCTGATTATTGGAATGGGATGTGTTGTGATATCATTTGTGATTTGCTTCATTAAACCACTTGTTTCGAGAACTGTTAGTAGATCCCAAATTTTGAATTGAATAAAATTAAAAGTGATGCAGTGTAACTTGCTTAGATTTTTTTGTGTGGGGTGTTGGTCATTGTGGATCATTGTGGTGGTTCGTATGAACATTATCATTAAATTGGCAAATGTGTATTGCTATGTGTCTTAGGTGACGTTTTCTTTTAAGAGCCTTAGAAGTTTTCAGCTATTCTTAAGACCCAAGACTTTCTGTTCATATTACTCTTTTATTAAATTTTATATTTTCAATTGATCCAACTTTTTTCTTTTTTCTTTGTACAATAAAAAATTAAAAAAAAAAAATCATTGCCAAAAAATCTATTATTATTGTTTGTGTTTTTGATAGGTAAAGACAACTTTTTATGAGAATATATAACAATTCATGTTGCTTAGAATTTTAGAGAGTAATGTGCCATACTAAGTTATAATTTATAATGAATTATATGTATGCATGCATGTATATTTATTATTATTTTTTATATCAAATTTTGGTAGATTATTTTTCAATCTACAACTCAATTGATTTTTTGGTCAAGATTATCCAAACAAATAGAATATAAAGATTTGTCATGTGACATAGTTAAGTGGATGTAATTAATAGACTACATTAGTTTATGTAGTCTAATTTAGATTAGAGAGTTTTTATCCATTTAATATTTTATATTAGTTGGCCTTGTTAGTATCAAGTAGGGTATAAAGATATTAGATAGAAAAGCTCCTTTGACTTTGCATTCTTTCTTAAGGCAAGTCTTGTGAGTGTTTTTAAGAAAGAAAAAGAGTTCTTTATAGTAGAATTTTGCTTGGATATGGTGATTTAGCTATTCATTACAACCTAGGATTTTTTCTACACAATTGCACTCTTAGAATCTTTCTTTGTGGTGTAAGAAATAATTTAACTTATAGTGTTTAGATGCTTTATTTTTCTTTTGACAAAGAATCATTTTCTTTAAATTTTGTAGTATAGCAAGTATTTGGCTATACTACAAAACTTCTTCTTATTTCAACATCCTTGCTATAAAAGTCTTTAGTAAGAGTGTATCACAAAAAAAGATAAGATTTAATACAACTAGTGGTATCTATATTTAATGGTCAATTTCTAAAATTAATAGTTGCATTCATTAAAACTATACAATGTCTCAACATACATCACTTAGGATGTCTTTTATTTCATTTTTATCTAATTTTTAAAGTATTATAAGTCTAAATCAATCTTTGCAAAAACAATGCTTGCTACTCAAAGTTCTTTTTGAACAGATGTGATAATAATATATTTATTGTTATGAATTGCATCTTATAACTATGGCAATGACAAACTACTCTACAGCTTTTATTTGTAGCATAGGTTGCTTAGTAATATTCTATAGTATTGGTGGTTTCATTGAAATTTTTTAATGTCTTCTTTTACACACAATCTAGTCTTTATTTAGGATAGATTACTAAATCTTTGTTTGACATTGTACTTTTGTAATAGTACAATTAAAACACTTCTTAGATTTATAATTTGGTGACATATATTACCTTTAATTTATATTTTTTTATATACAATAAAAATATATGATGTTGCCATTTTTTGCAAAGGCAATAAGCAAAGATGTGGGAGGCATTAGAAATTGCATGCAAAACATAAGAAGTAACAAGTTAAAAGTGGCAACATGTATTAGTAAGTGGCAATTCTTGGCAATAGTAGATTAATAATATTTTTCATATTTGTCATTTATCTATTTTTTTTACCTAATCAAGATGAGCTTACTTACTATCTAGGAATTTTGTTAAAATAAATAAATAAAAATAATATTTTTTGTCTTGAACTTTTTAATGTTAATATTTGGAAGTTCATTCTATGGATATACATAATCTAAACTTGACATTTTTTGAGTCATTTTTGTATGGAAGTTTTTAAAGAAGCCAATAATAATATTAATTTGACAATTAGAAGTCATTTAGAATACTAAATTGATATTTATTCAATATTGTTCAATTTCTAAAGATGATCTTTTGTCCTTCTCTTATCCATATTTCACCTAATTTGGAAGTCTTATATCTTTAGGTTTTTATTAAGCCATAATAGAGTATTTTGGGATTACAAATCGTATGCTTAATATTTTTGAAGTACAAATTTTAAGATTTTGGACCTTCATACAAACTTGTTTATTGTTACTAGTTTTGTGACTTCTGACCATCAATTACAAGTCAATGCCAATAGCTCTAGTTTATTTTTAAATTTTATTTGTATATTATTGGAATGAAGATTTGGTTTGGATTTTTTGCTTTTTTTTGGTATCTTTTCTTTTAAAAGAGACCTTGATAAAAGCTAGATAGCCTAGAAATTACAACAAAAATATAGTTCTTAATTAGCATGCAATATTATTCCTTGCTTTGATATAAGATTTTGCATCTAAGGTATCTAATCAATGCTCAAATGATGAATATAATAAAATCCAAGTAAATAGCAATATTTGAAAAGACCTTATGGCCTTGCTTAAGCTTCAATATAAGATATTTTTTTCAATTATTTCTAATATATATTAAAATAAGATTAATTACAAAGTAGTAAGATTCTATTAAAAGAATATATTTTTATTCTATTTATGGTCTAATAGAATTAGGCACATGACTCCAAGTCTAAAATAAAGAGTTTTTTTTTTTTTTTTTTTTTTGTAGAAAGTATATAAAGAACATTAATATCTTAGAATATTTAGGATATAGATCATGTTATTTAGCCAATATTAGTATATTAACTTATATTAGCAAGTTTCTATATTATTTTTCAATGTGAAGTATTCAACCAAATTATGTTAAGTTTTGATACTTTATTATTTCAATTAAAGCCTTTTATCCAACATAGATTTGGATTATCATTTATCTTTGGATTTTATTGGATTATTTGTTGTCACTCCATGTGAAGCTAAATAGTGATGGTAGAGCATATAAGCAAGTAGATCATACTTGTCCTTATATTAAAAAATTCTTTAAAGTTGGAAATTATGGTTTTTTGTTTTATTTATTTATTAATTATATTTTGGTGCATTTTGAGTCACTTGTTGAAGTCTTAATAGATGAAGAAAGGAAGTTCTTTAGATCTTTTGAGGTTTTGTGTACCAAAGCTCTAATAGATTATTTGGCCACATCTATAAATAATCTTGAAATAAATGGCTTAGTTGAAGAGATTGTTTAAATTATCAACCTTAGTTTATAATAGTATGGATTGTTTCATGGCAATGATTAAGATTGAGACTTGATATTTTTATATATTGCAATGGTTTACGTCTTTAGCACATAAGCATTTTATAGTCCTTACATGTTGTTATATAGATGAGAGCCAATTCTACTTAAATTAATATGTGAGAAGTTGATTCCAATTGTAGACATATGTGACTTGAAATTTTAGTTGAATATCTATATGATCAAGCATGATTCTTTAAAAAGGCCATAGCCATAAAAAAAAAAAAAAAAAAAAAAAAAAAAACTATTTAATATTCTTAAAGTGTGTTTGTTATATATTTTTATTTGATTTTTAATTGCATACTTGATGCTGGTTTGTAGGACTCAATTTACTAAATATGAAAATTCTCATTTATACAATAAGACTATATAACAATAAGAGATAATATAACACAAATAAAAAATGAAACATTTAAATAAAATATCATAAATAAAAAATTTATTTTTATTTTTATTTTTGATAATAAATTCTATGAGTGTGTATAAGAACCTTGTGTAATTTATATTGAACTAAAAGATTATTAAAGATAATCAAATAGAAATAATATACCATTATACAATATTAAATAAAGGTATTGATATATGTTGAATATATGTATATATATATATATATATATATATATATATATATATATATATATATATATATACATAAATATTGATATATTTTAATTCTATCTTTTTCATAAAAATATGTTAATTGTTAATTTGACAACTTTTTAGAATACTAATTTATTTTTTAAATTTATAATTGTATATTCATAATATAAATTATAATCATTTGACTACTTATTTTGTATTTTTATAATTATAATATTTAAAATAATAATTTAAATAAAATATATTTATAAAACAATATTTATTATATTTTTATTTAGATACAAAATACAACTTAATATATTTAGAATTTGGCAAAAAAGTTTAATGTTTACTTCAATATTAGACTATTTTTTTCTTTTTTCTTTTTTCTTTTTACAAATTGTCTCATCAAAATACCTCAGTTTGGCTA